CATGCACCTCTTTTTGCTTCTGTTACATTTTTTTACAAAATGGCATGAATGAGTTGCTACGGGCTTTTGTTTATTAATAAAGTGCGTCCAGTGTCAAAAAATAAATTTTTTCACATTACATACCTCTGTTAAAAAAAAACATAACACGAACGCTATCGCATACGTAAACTGCATCGGGGAAGTCAGATTCAAAACGTATCATGCATTAACAAACAGGATTTGGAACTGGGCCCAAGAAAGACAAATCTTTCTGGCAGCCTCATACATAGCCTCCACAGAAAATGCAGACGTGGACCAACTGTCGTGCATGAGAAACGTGGACACAGAGTGGGAGCTTCACGACACATACTACGAGTTAATAAAATAGGGAAACCCGAAATTGACATCTTCGCGAATAAGCTCAACAAAAAATGCAAAAAATATGTAACATGAGACCTGGACACGCAAGCCACCTACACTAACGCGTTTACGCTGGACTGGTCCAAACTAAAATTTAATGCCTCCCCTCCCTTCAGCTTGGTACTAAAAACGTTAAACAAAATCAAACGCAAGGGAACTGTGGGTATAGTAGTGGTACCAAGTTAGCCTACTTAATCCTGATACCCGCCACTTCTAGACCTACTAGTAGGAGACCACATCAACCTAGGGTCCAGCAAAAATCTATTCTTGTCTCCTTGCAGAAAAAAAACACAGGCTCAGGCCAAAACCCTGGCTTTGATGGCAGGAATCGTGTGCAGGAGGTCTTCATAAGAGCACAAGTCCCTCCAGAAGCCTTAGACGTGATGCTAGCCTGACTCACTCCAGCTACTGTTCAACAGTACTCAACAGAACTCAAAAATAGCAGGATTTCTGCGAGATCCATAAGCTGGATTTCTTCAAAGCGTCACGGTACTCTCTTCTAGAATTCTTGTTCACCCTCTTCGCAGCTGGCTCCTCCTACATCACACTAAATTCGGCTCGCTAAGCCATAACATTAGTCTTGGGGGACACCAGGTTAGGCACAGACCAAATGGTCTCAAGATTCATCAAGGGCTGCTTCAGGCTCAAATCTCCCACGCCCAAGTATGACATTACTTGGGACGTGAACGTGGTGCTGGAATATCTCCAAAAGCTCCCCGAAGCCACAGACCTAGATCTGAAGACGTTATCCCTAAACGGCCGTCTTCCTATCGCTAAGCATTGCTCATCGAGTCCAGACCCTTGCGGGCATCAAGATCGATAACATCCAAGAGTCAGAAGGGGGCTTAATCATAAAAATTGACAAACTGATTAAAACATTGCGTCCAGGGACAGAACAATCTCTTCTTAGTCTACCCAGGTTTATAAACCACCCTAAATTATGCATGACATCTCACGTATTCAAATACATGGCTTAAATAGAGAGGATTCGTGGCGGAGAACAGACGCTCTTCATACGTTTCAAAAAATGACACAAAGCGATTAACAGCCAAACACTAAGCTCATGGCTTGAAAACATCTTAACTACTAGTGGTATTGATAACAACATCTGTTCAGTCTAAAGTGAACTTGTGCTTAAAAGTACTGTACATTTTATTATGTTTCTAATTGCTATGCAAAATTGCTGTAATATTTAAATGTCTGTTACTTCTTCGCGAGCTTCTTAGAATTTAATATCTTATGTTTCATACGTTACTACTTGGATTAAAACAATACTCAAGAGACTGTGCTACATTTATACTTTTCTACGTTATAATATATTCAATAGTTGTTATCTGCAAAACGAAATATTCTCGAACATTCACATATAAGCATATAAATATACCGTGCTCTGCGTAGCACTAGTCAGTCCAATCAAGCGCTGCGGCTGAGTTGAACGCTTTACTCCGTTTGCAACTGTACATAGTATACCAATTGATTGAAAATAAATGTTGCTGTTAATTTGAAATTACAAGTCTCGCGTTAATCCTTTTTCCTGTATCTGTCTTCGACGTGCTCTGGGCTTGAGCTCGCGACGATAACGGCCCTTCCATGAACAACATCTTTACGGCACATTTAGTTCGCCACGCAGCTTTCTCAGCGGCCTTTGCAAGGGGCGTAAGTATAGAACTAATAAAAAAGACAACAGGATGGTCGAAAAATTTTCTGACATTCGCTTGGTTTTATAACAGGCTAATACGCCAGAATAACCAGTGCTTCGCTTCAAGCGTAATAATAAATCAAAATAACTAAGTGTAGTATTCTGTTACCACTTGATCAAACAAGTCCAAATAAAAATTAAGACTGTAAAGCCTCAGTGGAGACTCAATCCATAATTCTAAAATAAGAGATAAAGTTATGACAATTGTAGAAAAAAAAAAAAAAAAAAAAAAAAAAGAAGTGTATGACATTAGTACCAATTTGTATCACTTAAGACAAATCAAATGAACCGTTTCAAATTAACAACAAGTCAAATAAATGTATGCACCGATAGTCAACGTTTCCTTTTGCCGTACCTTTAAAAATCTACACTTGTACACTTGTAATCTCGAGAACGAGGCTATAAAGTATAATTGATGGATCAAACAAACTTACCTAAGTGAAGTTTGATTCAAATTATACGAGGAGCCCCGTTCAAAGAGATTACAAACGCATCCCTATTAATCAGGACAAAATAAAACTCTCTCTCTCTGAAGAAAATGACGAAACAGGTGAGCGCAACACTGGAGAGGGCCGACCGACCAGCAGGCTCCCCCCAACTTGCGCGCGCGCCCAACAAGTGCAGCAAGAGTTACGAGCAAAAATCCTTTTTACCTTTCAGGCTTACTCTAAAATCTTGTGCACTCTAACAGGGAAGGGAGTACTTATATAGGGGGGGGGGGGGTAGCTTGAAAATGTAAGAAAGTATTGCTCTTTAAAATATACATTAGTGCTACCAATTTCGGTGAGATCAGTTTTCAGCTTAATGAATTCTTCTTTCTAATTAATTTATTCTACTGAAACTCAACCAGAAAATTCAAAATCCATTCAAATTTGTCATCCTGCTGGAATTAAAAAAATTTTGGCCGATAGTGTAACGATTTTTTGAACATTACCACTTTCCTATCAACGTATGAAACCACACCACTTTCGAAATTTTGGCTGTAGAACATTTGCACTTGTATAAGTTTAAAGTAATGCCTGCTTTTCGTAATGTTCAATTTTTTTGTTAAACATATGAATATTTAACTGTATTTTCTGTAAATATGAGCAAAATTAGTAGAGTACCGAATGCTTAAGATTTCCTTCAAAAAAGCTCTCTTGACTTCAGAAGGTACTAAAATAGTGTTTTTTCCTCTTTTAATTTTTGTTTTGGAAAGCACATTTAAGTTTTTAATGTGCGAATATTCTTTAATCATACTTACAAAAAAAATTTTTTGGGTTGGTTTTAGTAAAGTTAATTGATAAGAAAAAAATGGCTTATTTTGCATAAAAAAAAAAAAAAATTTCCTCGCCAATTATTTGTTATGTTAAAAACCAACGTATTGTCAACAGCAATACTTTCTTAAATTTTTAAATCTTTTGATATGTTTTTACTAAAATATTAAACGTGATAAAAATTAAGTTTTTTGACTTGGAATTCAATTCATTAATTAACAAAATCACTTATTAACTCCTTACTGGCACCATTTTGTAAAGAAATATAAGAGAAACAAAAAAGATATGCACGTTAAAAATGCACTGAAGAGGAGATATTGTACATAAAGTAAAATTAGGTCTTTTTTCGTAGGTCTTAAATTAAAAAAAGGTTTCCCCTGCGATTAAGACTGTGGCTTGTCAAAATCGTCATTAGGTTCTTTTTTCCACTATGATACTAAAAATAGAAACGGATCATGACGAAAAATTTCTGTCATCTTGTTTCCTTAACTGAGCTAAGGTGCGCTTTTGCTTCCCAACCGTTGCCTATAGAATCTCACTGAATATGTGCTAATTTGAAACAATGAATGCAGATCATTTTTGGTTACTTCTTTGCCGTTTTTGTAACACATATTTTTCCCGTTTTCGCAGATTGTAGCAAAATGTACAAAAAAATTTTACTTAATTTGTATTAGTAGCTAGGTATTACTGATACTTACAATTCGCGAAAAAAAGTTCCTGTGACCAATAAAAACCCTGTTATTACATGTCAATAAATAGTTGTTTACAGTATTTTTTAATTCTTTGTGCAAAAAATTGTCGACCGATTAAGACCTAATAAAAAATTTTTCATTTTTTTCGTCTTCAGCCTTATTTCAGATTATTTTTTGTTTGTTTTCAAAACTTTTTTCATTGCATCAAAAATTGCAAAAGATCTATTTAATGGACCTTTTCGACATTTTTCACTCAGGTTTTGTGGATACTTGCTTTTCCAAAATTATACTAAGCTTACTGTACTAAGTTCATTATTTTTTTTTATTTATATTTTTTTATTTCAGGGAATTTATTTTTCAAATATCGGGTTTATTTTGCTATCTTACATACACTGATAGCCAACTGACATAGTGACAGGCTAGCTAAGTATCAATGCAGATAACGTTTGAGCTTTTTTACGTCTATAATTCTGAGCGATAATTGAACTATGACATATATAGTGTTTCCATCATTTATGCACGACCACGGGAATCGGGCATATTAACTCGCATATAAGTCATAATGAGGACGAACAGCCCAATTCAGCAGGATACTGGATACTGTTATTCTGAGCACACTGTAACCCACTCTACGAGGACTTAGTTAAATACGTATCCGTGATTTGTATTATTCATGTAGTTCATAAATTTCTGTAATGCATAGTATGCATCTTACGCACTAACTTCTAGACCTATTCTAAAAATTTGACTGAGAAATAAAAAACCTTAATTCATCTAATGTCTTTCAGATAATGTATTGTTGTGGCAATGAGTGGCTAATTATTTAAACAGTAAGAGTTTTTGCTTACAAAAACCTAAGTCTTACACTTTTTCTAGATTACATTGCTGTTTAAGACTTGAATACATTATTTTTGTATGTTAAGACCCAGGATAATGTTATAAACTTATTTTCAGGTAGAAATGGATGCCATTCTTTCTCTGAACCCTGAATTAAATATGGATAATATATTACCATCTACTCACATGAACAATCAAATTTTAACTTCCACTAAAGCAAGGGTGAGTATTAGGATCTTTAAGTTATGATATAGATATGTTTTTTTTAATAATGATTTTTCATGGCCATTTTCTTAAAGCCTTTTTTAACTATTTTCACAGCTGTGTAAAAAGTTAACAGTTGATCTTGCTAAAATTTAGTTTAGAAATCGAGCACTATAAAACCCTTATTCATACAAACACTATTTTTTGTGATACACAAAAAGAATTTTGCTACTGATTGGAGCTTACAAAAACTTATTTGATATTGTATTCAACTGTATGTTGATTTTATATTTTTCATGCATAACCACTTTTAGTTATTCAAGAGAAAATGTATCTTACACTAAAAAAACCATGTTTAGCAAAACATTATTAGCACCTTATTATAAACATAACAGAAGGTAAAAAGTCTTACGTAAACTCATAAATAAACTTATAAGTCAACATTTTTATAGAATATCAATAATGGATGAACAATAAAATTTTGTGCTGTTATTAAGATAGTAGTGAGATCTTTCTGTGTGGAAAATAAAAGTATTAAATTATGCAGTTAAGTACCTTAAACGATACTCAAAATCTAATACTCTTTGCAAATAAATCTTGAAATTCATTTCTTCAAAATTGTAAACTGAAGTAAAGATTTATGAACGTTAACTATCCCTAAACATTTTTCAAAATAGTTTTTACCACTCTTATAGTTACGTACGACTTGTTTTATTAATCGCAGTATCCTAATTTAAAATAACATATTTTGAAAATTCAAAATGTTTGAGAGCACTATTTTGCTAGTTTGTTTTTAAATTTCTATATTCAAGTCATTTTGACAACGTCTAGCATTATTAAGAAAAAAAATTAGAAAATTTAGAAAAATTAAAAATGGTTTGAATGCAATTTTGTATGAAAGTTAACGAAATTTGTAATAAAGTAAACCTTGTCAGCATCTAGTGTATGGTCAGTTAAAGTGTACGTACAAAACAAAGAGTATATCAACACTGTATTCAGCCCATAATACTGAAAAGAACATGATAGTGTGAGAATTTAAAATTGGTTGTAGTCTCACCTGACGATTACTATTAAGCCAATAGTGCGTATGTATGACTAAAGCTTTTTTATTTGTTGTTTCATTGATTAACATCAGTTGGGTTACCTAAGAAGCCTCAAATTTTCCAAACTTGCCATATGGCTGTGTGAGTGCCAAAGAAAAGAAAAATTTTCATTTGTTTCTTTAGCACTGACATCGGGCTTATAACGGATCTATGGAGTTCAAAGTACTATGTAACCACACTTTTATGCGTAAAGTAGTATTTCCATCATACAAATGAAGTTTGACTTTTTTATTCAGTATTTGAGCATCTAATTAATAAACATAATGAAAAAAGACTTATTTTCGAATTACTCGTATTACTAATAAACGTCTAGAAAACAGTTCTTTTTTTTCTGTTAAGTAGTATAAAATATGAGTATAATGTTATGACATAAAATAAATATTATGATACAAAATAATTAATATGAAACATGGTTTTACATCTTAAATCTTATAAGTCCAAAATAAAAACGATACAATTTTAATATTGAGCTGCACGACACGTCACGATGTGCAAAAAAGTTGAGCTCTATGTTCAAGTCCATCAGCTATCAAGCTATTGAAGTCCATAACCTACCAATGTAACCTCAAGAACATATATTACATAAACTCAATGAATTAAGCCTCCATATTGTATAACTATTATCACCTAATATTGAAACTCAATTGTCCTCTAACTTATGATCTTACACTTCAAAACCTTTAAAACTTGGTGTTTAATTACACAGATCTCTCTTTATCTAAGCTCTTCAATCTTATAGTCCACAAATCTAAAACTTTGATTCAACAGCTACACCCCCCCCCCCCCGTGCTTTCCCAGTATAACTTGTTAAGATAAATGATACACCAGCAAACAGGCTTAAACACACATCTCAGAGATTTTTGAATTTCAAACGATAAAACTTGAAGGCCATCATCAAATTACTATCGTAACGTATGCATACTATATTTTATTAAAGTAATTTCATTTCAAACAGATCACTAAGTACACCATAGTTTCAGACTGTAATAAAATATACTCTAGACTACATTGAAAATGAATCTTTGAAAATATAATGTCAGAGCCATTGTAAATATTTTCACTAATGTATTAAATACTACGGTGGTGGCAGTGGCGTGCGGCGCATAATGAGGCGAATTGCCAAAAAATTCGCCAAAATTCTAAAAATTTAGCCGTAGGTTTAAAATTAAGTGTTTTAAGGTTTTCTGGATCGCTGATACAAATATTGGGTCGAATACTCAATATCTTACCTGCTTTATCCTCTACTGACTTAACAATACTTAAAACATCGCGACTAACGTAACAAAGCAAAGTACATATCATTGTAATAGTGTTTTGGATCGTTTTTACAAAATCTTTATCTCTTACGACTTAATGACTAACATTCCATTTACAATGCTCACATAAATATTAAAAGAAGCAACAATAAACGAATAAATACTAAGAGCAAGAAAAGATTAATTTATTGTTTAACGTATCTTCTATTGTTTAAGAAACAGTAAAACGTAGTGTGAGCAAACTAGATAATAAGGACAAAAAACGTAACCACTTTCGGACAAAAAAAATGTCAGCAATAGGTCCAAAAAATTGGTGAAAATAGCCAAAACAGGTTTTTCGCTTCTATTAAAAAAGCTGTAATTTGGACAAAAAAACGTTTTGCATGAAAAAGATGCGCGATTTCAAGATGAACAAAATGAGCCCTGAGCCCTGGTGGACCCAAATCAGAGCCGCCGCTGGTACTTTGCAGAAAAAACTTTTTTCCGATACATTTTTGGGATACTTACGAAAAAGTTAGGAATACAAAAATTTAACCAGTGTTAGATTAACACCTCATAAGAGAAAACATGGCTCTATGTAGTCTAGCAACTTTTTTAGAACTAATTTTTGAATGAACCTTTTTTTAGTTTATTTAATGGTTTGCAAAAAGTTTTCATTTGATTGTCTTGAAATTTTAAAGGGTCGTTGAGAATCACAGAATCCTGTGAGGGTCCAACCATACCCTAAATAATTATGTACTTATCGACAGGTATCTATCGCCAATTTGAATTTAAGTTGATACCTCTTAACACCGACCATCCGATTTACTAGTATGTGAATAAATAAGATCGGTATAATAGCGCCTGTAAATAGACTATAGGAAATACTTATATGTATACCGAAACAAACAATAGTTGCGAATTGCGACGAAATGTGCAAGTCATCTGAGCCGCCTAATCAAAGCCGCCGACGCCGCTGCGCCTCGGAAGGGTATAAAAGGCCCACACGAGCCCATGTTAATCACTTTTTGCCATTAGCAACGAGTCCAGCGCTTTGACTAGGGAGCTCTGCTCTTCAAAGCACTGTTGTAATATTATCACAATAAATAGCGAATATATACCTATATATTTGATTACCATTTCTTGTATTATACCATTCACTTTAAATACTTCTCTGGCTACACGGGTGGCGATGAGGCTATTACAGTCTCCTAGTTTCCCCCGTACACCAGTGACTACTCTCTTGTGTTCCTCGGATAAGGAGCAGATCTCTGGGGGAGTACGAACCGGAGCTATCCTCTAGGTAAGGAAGCTATTGAACTGGTGAATCTTCAAGGCAATACGAAATGGAGTGAACCCGGGACATTGGCGATTTACTGCACCCAACGGAAGCAAAAGAGAGGCAATAAATTCTTGTTTAGTAATATCTTAAGATCACTTGGCGGTGTGTATCACAAGTCAGGGGCATTGCGAATCAGACTACGTTCCTGCACACCTCCACTAAGGTATACGTAATACGTGTTGGGGGCAATACGAATCCAACTTTGTACCGGCGAGTCCTCATTGCTGCCTATTCCTCTTAAAGGTGAATCCTTAAACACTAACACACATGAATATATGACGTCACGTGCAAGAACCAGAAAGTAATACTGATTCAATTTACACTTAAAATCGCTATATATAATCACGACCCTTACAACCCATGTTCTATTAAATTTTAAAGTAAAAATATTAATTAGTACGCCAGTTACGAACTACTAAAAAACAGGGTGAAAATGGCACTTTTTGTCAATTTGCAGAAAAACAGCAAGGCTGACTTAGGCCCGCCAGGGCTCACTTTGTTAATCTCCAAATTGCGCATGTTTTCCATGTGGAACGTTTTTTTGTCCGAATTACAGCTTTTCTGGTAGAAGCAAAAAACCTGTTTTGGCCATTTTTACCATTTTTTTGGACCTAGTGCTGATATTTTTTTTGTCCAAAGGTAGTTACGTTTGTTGTCGGGCTCGAGATCGATCCAAAGAAATTTTTTTTTGGCCCTGCCTGAGTTTCCTAGTCGACACTGTAGTTTGCTCACGCTAACACTATCTTTAAAGTTTTTGATTGTACTTATGTTTGTTGTCAGACCTTTTTCTATTTTAATATTTTTACTGACCTATTACAAAACTTGCAAATTTAATTGCTCAATAAACAGGATTTCTACAAATCTAATAATTTAAAGTTCCCAGATTTCTCCCAGATTTCTAGGCGTAAAATACAAAATTTTTAAGGATTCTTTCATCTTTGATTTTTTTTTTTCATTCATTTCCGAATTTATTTTCAAGAACATATATTACATAAACTCAATGAATTAAGCCTCCATATTGTATAACTATTATCGTTATTACATGTCAATAAATAGTTGTTTACAGTATTTTTTAATTCTTTGTGCAAAAAATTGTCGACCGATTAAGACCTAATAAAAAATTTTTCATTTTTTTCGTCTTCAGCCTTATTTCAGATTATTTTNTAAGTAATTAACAAATTAGTATTAATCAACTTAATTGATATACTTATTAAGAACAATTACAAGAACAATACGTAATCATATTACGATTGTTTTTTTTTTAAATACAGCTCTTCCTTGATTTTTTTTAACTTCTTTAGTACTGTCTTCCACAATCTACTTTTTCTTTTTTCTCTAAACTGTCAATCATATGCCTCTGTGTACAAAAACAACCACTTTCTCAATTTTCGAGACACTCGATGTAGACGCACGAGCTTATGTGGGAGCGGCTTTTATAAAAAAGTCTCGTACACGGACTTCATACTCTACGTTACC